ACATCTCAAGGAGAATTCTAAATCAGAAGCAGAAGCTTTTAGGTCAGACCGTCTATCTACATTTGGATCCTGGTCCTGGTGCTTACGAGCTTCTTAAATTTCTGATCTTTGTGTCTCTTTTTCTTATAAGACCAAAAATGCTTATATGACTAGACTGTTGTCAGAAATAAAAAGACAGTGGAATTCTTTGTTGGACACTTTACATGCATCATCTCATTGTTGTATCTTCACAAAACTACATAGATTGAGTGACACAAAGAATACAAAATGCGGAGCACATTGTGTGGTGCCTAATGAGCCCTGTTTCAGTAGGGTACCCAGGTACCTCACAGTCATGCTGCACAGCCATGAGGAGGAGCAGCTGCGCTGCTCTAACCTTCCTAGACTTCCCCAGTTGGCAAGGGGCTGCCACATATTGAGATTCAGGACGGGCAGCGGGAACAGGAGAGTCATTACATTATTCGTGTCAAATTCCACTAGTCTAATGGACTTGTTAAAAGCACCCTGGGTGGAAAGTGTTAGTCTTAATGGCATTTTATAAAAGTTGCTGTGATGAATTAGCACATAAAGCAAATTAAAAACAGCTTATCGCTTTTTAAATTAGGTGATGGGGCACTATAGCATTTTTCCCAGACATGAGGATCCATTAATATCCAAAGGAGCCAGAAGCTGCTGAAATGTGGCAGCTGCTTGGTTTTAGGGGCCTGATAAGTCTGAATCCGTGTAATCCTAGAGGGGCAGATTGTCCAAAATAAACAGAACTTTTAGAGAGAGCGTGTTGCTAGCTCCTCAGCAAGGATGCCTGTTACTAATGGCAGGAAGGGGAAATGTCCCCTCGAGGGCCCTTGGAAATAAATAGAGCTGTAGACCAAATGTCTGACCTGGTGGGAACCTCCAAAAAGCCCTCCCCTCTCCCCTTACAAATGGATATACTGAGGCTTGAAGAAAGAAATAAAAGTACTTTCAAAAGTCATCTGAAACATTCACACAAACCTCTATTGAAGATCTACTTTGGGTCTTGAGACTACAGCAGTGTCTTAGATGTCTTTGCACATAGGCTAGAAGACAGCTACTCAGTGCCATACCCGGGACACAGAGCTCCTGATCTACAGCCAGTACATTTTCTCGGAATAACCTTTAACAGTTGTCATGATAGTTAACATTTATTGAGCACTCACTTGTGCCAGGCTGGTGTTGCAATTCTTTACATATATTATTTCATTTAATCCTCACGGTAGCTCTTTGAGGTAGTTGGTATCGTAGTTACTATGCCAGTGTTACAGTTAAGACTTGAGACCCACAGAAGTGAGGTCATCTGCTCAAGATCACACAGAAAGGTGCAAATCCCATTAGTCTGGCCCTAGAGCCTGCTCAGCTGCCTCTCACCAGCTTTCCCGACCACCGCTCCTTCCCCACCCCTCACGTTGACATCGAGAAAGAGCCTGGAACCTAGACAGCCATTGAAGGACTTTGGGGATAAGAAGCATTGGGATGGGAACCGGGCAGTAAGGGAGCTGCAGGGATTTAGGGAAAAAAAGTGGCAGCTCTGAAGGAAGGAGTAAAAGTCCATGGGACATCTAGCTCATATGACCAGGAGAGAGCAGGAAATCAAGGCGTGTAATAAAGTGCCCAGGAATGTGGATCTTGGAGTCAGAAAGACCTCATATCATGTTCAGTCTCTATCACACATGTGACCTGAGCCTCATTCCCTTATCTGTAAAATGGGGATACTGATTTTTATTTTTATGGTTCTCGTGATATCAAATAGGACAATGACAAGCTACTAGACCACCTAACAAGGATGTCAGTAGTGCTTTTTAAAATTTTTTTTATGGAGAGGTTTTTGCTATAGAGTGCGTGCACTCACCAGACAGACAGAGAGAGACAGAAAGTGAGAAATCACCCCCCAGAGGGGATGGCCACACCACAATCCCTTCTCCTCCATTCTCCTCTCAGGATCTTGCGCACGCACGCACACGCGCCCGGCGTGAGTTTTAAGCCACTCGAACTGTGGTTGACTACATGGGAGTCCAGCAACATAGCCATTACGTTAACTACTGGTCCCTACAAGGACATCAGTACTGATAGCCATTGTGACTGTTACCTTCACCACCTCATCACTACCTCCCAGGTTGAAGAGGGGCAGATAAACAACACTGAACCAGAATCTGGGCCTGGAGATCCAAGTTTCAGCCGTAGGGTGGGGCCACTAAGCCATGGACCCTAGAGTTACCCAGCAGGCCTCACTAGATATGTCCTTTGTGTACTGTGTCTGTCATACCTTCTTCACAGCGAGGTATCTGAGCCCCAAATAAGGAAGCATGTGTGAAAATGCCTGTGGTCTATAGTGTACTGGGGTTCCCCAAGATGACTTCCTAGGAGGGTTCACAGGACTCAGCTCAGTCATGTTCATGGCCATGATTTATTACAGCAAAAGGCTACAAAGAGATGCCAGCCAAGAGGGAGGGAGCATGGACGGAGTCTAGAGGTGCAGACTGTGGAGACTCCTCCCTTGGTGGAATTGCTCACCAAGTGCCTAATTCCTCCAGCAGCCAATTGTGACAAGGGTGAACTGTGGTATTCTGGGGTGCTCATTAGAGACTTATTTTTTCTGGGGGTTGGTCACATAGGTACCTTCTACCTGGTATATGCCACAATTTCAGACTCTGCAAAAGAAAGCAGATGTTCAATGTAAGTGATATTATTTGTATAGTTTAGGCACAAGAGTGTTCTTATCAGGAAATAGGATTTTGGTAGGAACTCTCCCAAAATCTAAATTCCCAGATGTCAATCAAGGACTACCCTACGAGCAGGACTTTCAAGGGAAATTGATCTCGGGCCTGCTATTTCAACCCTTTTCTTTACACAGAGTAGAATTTACAGAAAAGATATTTATTAGTATCCGTTGAAAAAGGACAGGGAGGTAATAGTAACATCAGTTCATACTAACCGACATGATGTGCCAGGTCCCATAGAAATGGTTTGTTTGTATGTATTGCCGTAGGTAACATTTTGTCTGCTCAACAGCTCTATAATGGAGGTACTGTTATCATCATCACCATCACCATCACGTCATATATGAGCAACTGAAGCCTAAGAGCAGTTAGTGGCTTGCCCCAGTAGTTGGAACTAGGACATGGCCCCAGTGGTCTTCACTGTCAGCCATCGTTCTGCACTCTGCTAGGCTACACCTACCATGGGCTGGGTGCTTCGTGTGTGAGTATAGTTATTGGGCTAATTTTGCATCAAAAAACCTGTGGTTCAGGAATGATAATGAGCGTATATCATATCCTAAAGACATAAAAGTGACAGAATCATGAGTCGGGCTCTGCCGTTTTCCTGTCTAGGGCTTTATCTGAGTCTTTGGTGAAGCAGATGCAGATGGTCCAGTTGAAAATGATTTGTTCTGGGAGCTCAGACCAAGAAACTCCCCCAAACTCCACCTCATGGAGACAGAATTAGTGGAAGAAGGGCTGTGTGACAAGTAATTCAACTTTTCCTACAATGTTTAAGTGCTCTAGATACTATCTTCAGCTATTTTTGGTTGCCATGACAGCAGATATGACATTCCTTTGGGGAAAAAAAGAAAGAAAAAGAGCCACACTTGGTCTGCAGTGATTTTAGAAAAAGCTTTTATCCAGATCTAACTAGTTTTGCATGCATAGTGCATACGCTGCAAGGAAATTCTTGGAATGGAATCAAAGGGGAATAAACAGAGAGCTGGCAGAATCTGCTTCTCCACGGAAATCCTGTGCAGTGTGCGTATGGTAGTGATTTTTTTTTTTTAGAGGTTTTTGCTATAGGGCACGTGCGCAAGACAGAAAGCAAAAAATCACCCCCTAGGGGGGACGGCCATGCCACAATCCCTTCTCCACCATTTTCCTCTTGCGATCTTGGGCACACACGCATACGCACCCGGCGTGAGTTTAAGCCACTGGGTCCAGGACTCAAACCGTCGTCAACTACATGGAAGTCCAGCAACATAGCCATTATGCTAACTGCTGGTCCCCGTATGGTAGTGATTTTTGAAAGTGGAGGATATAGCAGGAGGCTGACAGTATAGGACTTGCAATAGATCTCACCTCCTTAAGGCAACAGCTAGTTACTAAGGTCTTGTTTATCATTTTGATTCTGCTTCCAGGGCCCTCTTCCCACCAGTCGTATGGGTACAGTGCATTGGCCTTGGCAAGGGATTAGCAAGCGCTGTGTAGTTGAGCAAACATGATGCTGGAAGCAAGGATTATAAATCAGGGTGACAACTGCAATGACGAGAAAGGCTCGGCATTATATGGGCACAGAAAGATTTGTGGTATTGTTCGTATGACTTTGATCTGTCACATGCCCACATAGAGGTTTTTTGTTTGTTTGTTTGTTTTTTCATTTTCTCCATTTTAAGCATTTATTTAGGCTATTATATTAACCTCTTCAACCAGCCAACTTCAGTGACAAGCCAATATTCCACTGAAAGGCAGAACCACCGCTTCCTATAGGAGGACATATAAGTTGCTATTATTTCTCCCTATTATGAAGGAGAGAGTTCCACAGGCTGATACAACTGAGAGGATTTGTTTCTAACACAAAATGCTTCACTCGGAAAGACAGCCATGCTTCTCTTCATTTCTTCCTCTTTTTTTTTCTTCTTTTTTGTAATTCTTTAAACCTCAGTTACAGTTAGAAGAAAAAAATCTTGAGTAGGAAACTGCCTTTTTTTTTTATCTCCATTATTATTTTATAGCATCTGATTGTCTCCACGAAAACAAGTAGACCCCAAGTTTAGGGATCTCTAGGTTGCCCCTGCAATCCCCAAGGAGAATTGAGAACTAACCTCAGTTTGTGACCAAAGCACCAGGATTACAGACAGTGATCCAGTTAGTCATCCTGGAAATTGGTAGCCAATGGATGATGGGTTCCCAGGGCAGGAGCGAAAATTCAAAACCATAAATCCTAAACCCAAGCTGCCAGAGACCCCTGACAATGTCCTCTTTTATCACTTCCTCCAGAGCCATGTTTGACTATGACAAGAGCAAAGACAGCGGGCTACCGAGTCAAGGACTTAGCTTTAAATACGGAGATATTCTCCATGTTATCAACGCCTCTGATGACGAGTGGTGGCAAGCCCGAAGAGTCACACTGGAAGGAGACAGTGAGGAGATGGGCGTCATCCCCAGCAAAAGGAGGTAAGCATGCCCTTTGTGTATCAGAATATTTTCTCGTCAGCTGTCTGGGGAGTAGAGCTGAGTGAAGAATAAGATGGGGAAACTGTTCACAAAATAACTATTTAAGCAGGATAGTCAGTCTGCAGGAAAATCGTCTGTGGTGACAAATGATGACAAAAACTAAAAATCCCTATTCTTCTCATTTTGGTTTTACCAAAATTGGTAACTCTGATAAGACATACAGGAAGAAAGAGATCTGTTTACACTGCACTCCTAAGACTTTGATCAGTGTGAGATGATGCTTATCAGTTTGTCTTCTGACTTAGGAATTCAGTGAGTTTATTCCAGGCTCAATGTTTACCAACGAAATTTAAGGAAAGCCAAGGAGAGCACCAAAAAAAGTAGGCAATTTATTAGGCTAACATCTTGACTCTGTAAGATCTCCAGTTGTTGATAGAAAAAGTTGAAAACCTCCATCCCAAATCAGATGCTTGGGGGATACAGCTGTCCAGAAGCTGGTGAGGTCTGAAGACTGACTTGACAACCATTTCTTACTGTTTCCATTTCTCCTGTTCCCCAGCACATGATTCTAAATAGTTCTATATATGTTTCCAAAGTCAAAAGTGTCATGTTCTTTCTCTTCCAAGAATCTCTTTGGAAAAGCTGAAATATACTTCAGAACAGCCAACTCTCTCATCTGTCCCACCAGCTTCAAATCGTCACCACCAGAGACAAACTTTTCTTCCTGTGAATTCCTTTTGGCACCAAGATGTCCGAGAGACAGAAACTGCCTATATCCTAGAAAATAGATCAGGTACAAAATCAGTCAGGAATGATCGTCATTCCAAGCGGTCACCAACTTTTCTCAAGCTTTATTTCTCAAAAGACCATCATCCTGGGACCAGCAGTTAGCGTAATGGCTATGTCGCTGAACTCCCATGCAGTCGACCACGGTTCGCTTAAACTCATACTGGGTGTGTGTGCGTGCATGCCCAAGATCCAGAGAGGAGAATGGAGGAGAAGGGATTGCGGCATGGCCATCCCCCCTTGGGGGGTGATTTCTCACTTTCTGTCGCTCTGTCTCTCTCTTTCTGGTGAGCGTATGCGCCCTATAGCAAAAACCTCTCCAAAACAAAACGACCATCATCCTCATATACAAACACCCAAAATACCTGTGTAAAAACAAAAAAATTCTCAGGGATTCAAGTGCCTTGACACAAGAAGTGACCCAGTGATCATATAAACCATAGTGGGAAGAAGTCAGTTATACCTCAGAATAGCTCTGTGGGCATTGCACCCCAGAGAAGACTGGTGCTCACCTTCCCCTACCTATGGCCATACAGCCTTGGCAGAAACATGGCAGTGAGGGCAGTGAGCCAACTAACTGTTCCTTGGCTGTTGGCTCATCTTGAGCAGGGAAGAGTCGCAATGAAGAGGCTGAAACCCAGGGAGCCTTGCCATCCTCCTGCCTTTGCCACAAATCTCCTACCAGCAGTTTTCTAGGTCTCTTGAAACCTCTAGGTTCCTGGGTAATTGCCTGACATTGCTTTGCCAGGCCATTTTTACTTTTTCCATGGCTTCTCGTGTTTTCTGAAAGGTTATATTCAAAGCAATGACTCTCAGCACTAGTTTGTTTATATTCTGTGTTTAACTGTTGCCATTTACTTCAAATTAAAAAAAAAAAAAAAGAAAAAGTCAAGACCACAGTATTTTGGACTGCTTTCATGTAATTGATCAGCACTATCGGAGGAGCTGTTCTGTGGGAGCCATGCTGTTAAATATGGCCCCAAGGATACAAATAGTGAGAGGAAGGAAAGCTCCGCAGGCCTAGATTTTAGCTCATTTTAGAGAAATCCTTCTACTAATTGGAACTGCTTAGAAATGACATAGGCTCAACTGTTGCTAGATTTTAGTTCTGTCCATATTTGTTTTTTGAGTTTTTTGTATCTATGTTTTCTTTGGACTGAAGCCTAACCTGTTTCCTGGCTTTGAGTTTGAAGCAACTTTTTCTTAACGTTTTTTAAAATTTTGATCCATTAAAGCTAAAACAGCTTTCCTTGACATTAAAAAAATAACACTAGCTAACTAAAGACAGTGCAAGAGAAGAGTGGGCAATGGAAGGGGGAAGGAATCAAGGGTGAAGAAAGCAAACCATTTAATGGACACAAAAGTGGAAAACTGTCTGCTGATCGTAATGTGTATGATTATAAATGAATACAAAATTTTTAAAAAGAGAGAGATGGCATAGACTACCTGAGAAGATACAAAAGGGATTCTCACTTGGGATGAGAATGTTGAACCATTAAGATTTTCAAGCCCTTTCCAATGCTGAGGTTCTGTTATTCTAACCACTCTTGTCAACAGTCATTAATTTGCTCAATGGCTCATCATTTTCCTCCTAAGGAACATCCTCAGTGCTATTCCTCTTGAAATAATTTTCCACCTGCTGGTGATCATTCTTGAACTGGCTACCTCTCTGCTATTTTCATTGAAAACCATCTTAACAATCACAATACAGCTGGCCTACAAAGAAGTTTGTTCAGTGACTGCAGTATTGATATTTATTTGTACAATATTTCATGAAGGGTACAGCTACCCTGCCTAGCACATGACTATAAATGAATTTTTGTCAGATTTTCTCCTTAGGATTTTAATTATTTAAAAAAAGTTATTGTTATTGTTTTACATATTTATAAAAGTAATGGCTTTCACTATAGAAAAGTGGGAAGTTTTAGAAAAGTATAAAGACAAAAATACAAATACTGTTAATCTTACCTTTCAAAGAGTCCTCATGTACTTATTTTAATGGAATTTAAAAATCTTAATAAATGGGGTGGGGGGCAGTAGGTGGTTTACTGGCTAAGGTGCTCGACTCCCACATAGCCAATCGCAGTTCGAGTCCCATACCTAATGATTATTAAGTCCCAAACCTAATAATAATAGCATCTTAGTCATTTGGTTGTAATTAAAAAATAAGAACAATAAATAAAGTTAAATAATTCCTTTTTAAAAATCTTAATAAATGTATTAGATTGATTTTGAGTTTTTTGTATCTATGTTTTCTTTGGACTGAAGCCTAACCTGTTTCCTGGCTTTGAGTTTGAAGCAACTTTTTCTTAACGTTTTTTAAAATTTTGATCCATTAAAGCTAAAACAGCTTTCCTTGACATTAAAAAAATAACACTAGCTAACTAAAGACAGTGCAAGAGAAGAGTGGGCAATGGAAGGGGGAAGGAATCAAGGGTGAAGAAAGCAAACCATTTAATGGACACAAAAGTGGAAAACTGTCTGCTGATCGTAATGTGTATGATTATAAATGAATACAAAATTTTTAAAAAGAGAGAGATGGCATAGACTACCTGAGAAGATACAAAAGGGATTCTCACTTGGGATGAGAATGTTGAACCATTAAGATTTTCAAGCCCTTTCCAATGCTGAGGTTCTGTTATTCTAACCACTCTTGTCAACAGTCATTAATTTGCTCAATGGCTCATCATTTTCCTCCTAAGGAACATCCTCAGTGCTATTCCTCTTGAAATAATTTTCCACCTGCTGGTGATCATTCTTGAACTGGCTACCTCTCTGCTATTTTCATTGAAAACCATCTTAACAATCACAATACAGCTGGCCTACAAAGAAGTTTGTTCAGTGACTGCAGTATTGATATTTATTTGTACAATATTTCATGAAGGGTACAGCTACCCTGCCTAGCACATGACTATAAATGAATTTTTGTCAGATTTTCTCCTTAGGATTTTAATTATTTAAAAAAAGTTATTGTTATTGTTTTACATATTTATAAAAGTAATGGCTTTCACTATAGAAAAGTGGGAAGTTTTAGAAAAGTATAAAGACAAAAATACAAATACTGTTAATCTTACCTTTCAAAGAGTCCTCATGTACTTATTTTAATGGAATTTAAAAATCTTAATAAATGGGGTGGGGGGCAGTAGGTGGTTTACTGGCTAAGGTGCTCGACTCCCACATAGCCAATCGCAGTTCGAGTCCCATACCTAATGATTATTAAGTCCCAAACCTAATAATAATAGCATCTTAGTCATTTGGTTGTAATTAAAAAATAAGAACAATAAATAAAGTTAAATAATTCCTTTTTAAAAATCTTAATAAATGTATTAGATTGATTTAATCCCTGATTCCTTTCAAGCCCATCTCCAAGGTCAGTTCATAGAGTTGAGCAGGTCTGGAAAAATCTCATAATGAATAATTTCATTGTATAGTTTCACCCTTAAAAATGTTTCTCTATCATTGATGTCATTTAATTATTCCAGTGAAACCATAAGATGGAAAATATGAGTCTCACCCTCCTTATCCTCCTTTTGCTGAAGATGGTAGATCAATTTTATTTAACAAAACATCCCTATATCAACTGAAAGCTTTGTCATAGCCCTTGAACTTACTTAAACCTCATTACAACCATATGACTAAGATGCTATTATTATTCCCTTGTTTCCAATGAGGAGGCTGCGGCACAGAGAGGTTAATTAATTTGCATCTGGTACATGGCAGAACCAGGATTTGAAAACAAACTACACAGTTCCTCTTAATTCAAGTATTTCTGCTTCCCAAAGATAATGAAAAAAAAAAAAAAAGAGTTGACAAAATTCAGTTCACTGAGCATTGTTTGGGTGGTGTCTGTGTGCCCGATGCCTTTCTTTGCAGTGTTGCTTTCTAGAGCCCATCTTGGTGAAACCAGCATGTGACTATGCCATGGCTGCTCTGTGATTAGGGTGACGAGCTTTATTATGAAGGTATCCAGGGAAATGTAAGCACAGCAGATAGGGTGAATTCCATCTGATGATAGCACTGATTGTGTATCACGCCAGGTGTTGTCAAATAGGTCATTTCACTTTAATCTCCATGAATATCTCATAAGGAAACAGAGTCAGAGAGGTCAAATAAGTTGCTCCAGGATGCCCAACCAACCACGGGCAAAATCCAGCTCTCTCTGGTAGCAAGACCAGATGGCTTCCACTGTCCTGGAGCTCTATACTAGGAGCACT